AGAGAATGGATAGGTTTTATATAGAGAGATAATTCTTTGATCCAATTTTCTATAGAAGTCTATAAAAACTCATAAATGTCTATAGACTTTCTATAGAATTCTATAAAACATTTTACTACGGGTGAAACACAAGGAGAACAGGATGGGGATTGAACCGGGGACCGGAGATATCCACGTGGTTCAAAGCGCACACAGTGGCTACCACCAGTTAAGTCGACTGAGCTAAGCCACTCTCAAAAGGAGGAAAAGAAGAATGATGGTGATATTGACGATAATAATGAAAACAAGCATGGAAAGCTATCTGTAATGTTAGTTTCAGATTTGCAAGAGAAGCCTGTGTACGAGTTGAGACATCTATATAATATAGTTTTAGGTGGTGACTACACAAGTAACGACACATACATCAGTATTAATTTACACAGAGTATGGGTTTGCCTTTAGTTATGTCATTAATGTTACTGTTGAATGAAGGAAATTTACTAAATGATGTTAAAATGGAAAAATAAAGAAAGTAAGATGTGCAGATATAGATGAAAAAGACTACAATTTGAAAAATAATGTAAATATATAATACATTACTACCACATTATAATATGTTTTTATTACGTAAAGAAAAAGGAGCACACATAAATTATGATAGATATATGGTAAACACGGTTTAGAGATTTACGAAGAAAACCAATAACATTATAATGAATTCATGGGAAAATATGATTTATGAAGGTAAATTATACAACAGTAGAATATCAATGTGATGATCGTGCCGATATTAATTGGATTGGAGAGAATAAAAACGAAAAGGTGTTTCAATGGGTGGGTTACGATCTCGCAAAAATATGTATATTTTACTTGCTCATTACCTGCACTTCGCTTCCAAAACAAACCGAATAACCCTGAACTTTTTCCTCTTTCTGTGTTTTGTGTTTGTTGCGTGTTCGGACTTACAGTAGACGGTAGAGCTACTGAAATTTCAAGTGTCACAATGCAGTTTATGAGAATACTATTTATAATGTGTGGTTTTTCTGGCCTACTCAGATGTACCGATACACAGACGTCATCATACAATGTGTTTAAACGATACTTAATGTGAAGTATAGGACTCAAAACTGTTTGAGCTACAGCAATAATAATATAGTAAAATTGTAGGCCTATAGCAGATTAAGCGCAAGGCTCGGTAGTAAATGTAGTCCAAAGCCGTCAAATGCCCAACGTACGATTAAGTATAAAAGTAAATGCAAGAGCAACTCACATCGTTGCACATTACACTGACGTCATGAGCAAAGTTTAAGATTGTCAGTACAACATTGGCGTTACAAACGAATATATACATCGACAGTCGAAAATATTTAAGCAGTGAGCGTTCCTAATAAGCAATTGAAGGTATGTTGCTTGCTTAGGCATACCTGTTGTTGTAGAACTGGTTGACCGGTGCGGATGAAGTGCATTGCTCTCCGTGCTCATACCCAACCAGCAACTTATAGAATGATGAAGATAGACATTTCGAACTTGTATTTTAGTCCAGTCTCTTTAATATAGAAAAAAAAAATCTTAAATTAAATTTGGCATATGGAACATTTTATTTAGTACGATAATAAATTTATTTTCTGTTCACAGATATGTAATTAAATAAAAAAACTCGGATACTGTAGTTAGTTGGTGTAAATATGTATACTTACATACTCTCAAGGATCATATGACCATAACAAGATGTTGCAAACACAGCCCTGTAATATTCAAACAATTTGAAACGTGATTACCTCCTGCACATTCTGCAATGAAAATATCTGCAACTGGGGCCTATATCAATTTTTGGAAGGCGGGAGGCGCAGCAGTCTGTGTCGGACGTTCCAAACATACACTGTGGAAACACTCGTCTAACTATGCTGGCATTTCCCAGCTTGCATTGATACTATGTTTTAGCCCAAGATACAAGTATCCAATGGCATAATATTTGTTTAAATGGAAAGAAAAATTAAAAAAAATAGTAATCCCTTTCATAATAGAAGGGAATTTCAAAGCCTTATTTGGGATGATTTAAATAAAAATCAGTAAGTATAATGATGTCCTTATCACATAGGTAAACAAGATATGTTCTCATCTTCTTAAAATTAACTGTCCACATTGTGTATCTTCAAAACTACTTACGATACATTCTTAAGTGATGCTCGCATTTCTTTGGCAGTTTTCTGCATATAGCTCCATTCTTCAAGTTCTGTGGGCGGGGTGAGACTGACCAAGTTTATCGTCAATTGCGCTTCGTCATATAGCCACTGCACAATGTATACAGGAGCTAGAAAGGTACAAACAGACATACTTTTTGACATATATAATATCATGGAATACTGATATAAACAAATACGAAAATAATCTACCTTAATGACAAGAGTAGGATTAGACTAACCTTTTTGAAAAAAAAAAAAGACATGTAGGCCTATTCGTGCTGTGCAATTAACCACTGTGGCTGCTCCGGATCACCAGAGGCCCAAATAAAATGTTCAACAGAATAATTGAGTTAGGCTTACTACTTTTTATGTTCATATTGATTTTAGTGAACTCAAATTGTTTGACGCTATAGAGAGCTATGTAGCAGGTATTTAGTTTACGTTTTGATGATCTCGTTGGGTACCGGTCGGCATATGTACCGGTATATTTGCCAGAGGTACTATTATTCTGATTCTTTGAAAAAAAATAATTAAATTTTAAAAACCCGTTAAAACATATTCGAGAAAGTTATGATTTTAAAAATTCTGATTGTTTCTTTATATAAAGCGTTGAGCCAATCTCTAATTGCATGAACAATAATAATTCATCATTATCATTACTGATTTTAGCAATTAGCAATGTTTTGACGCCAGCAAAAAATAATTTGAAAAGCTTTTTATTTTATTTTTATTTCAACCATCTTTAAAGAGGGTAACCCTTCCAGTTTAGCCCAGTAGGTTAACTGATATTCAGGGGCCCTCTTTAATAAAATTAAAGAACAGTACAAACAACATCATTACAACAATAATAATAATAACAACAACAACAATAATAATAATAACTATAATAATAACAACAACAACAATAATAACAAGAATAATAATAACAACATAATCCTCATAACAAGTCTTAAAAGTATTAAATTAACTTACATAAAGACAATTCAAAATAGAAGTTTAATTTATAATACCTAATATAATATAATATAATATAGTATAATATAGAATAAAATCAAACAATGTAATAAGCTTATTACTCACTCCTCAGCGTTTGGTAGATACGAAATCCAAAAAAGCATTTCCACTCGTTACCAGCTCCATACATCTCCAGACAGGATGATGGCACGGAGCTTCCCCATAATCTTTAAACAAACATACATTGAATTGTCATATTTCTTGGCATCTACGCGAGTACAATTTTAACAAATTATTTAAAAAAATTCTCTTTGACATACAGTAATTATCAATACTAAAATGTTTTTACTCACCTGACTCCTTTTGCAATAGCCTCTGAAGGTTTACAGAAAATTGAACTATCGCATCTTGTCTCCTTTAACTGTTCCATATCCAAAAACCAACCGGAATCGACCAATCCCCGTAACTCCACGTTACTACCAACCGAGGCCAACCAGTCTCGAATACTGTCCAAGTTTAAAAGAACTCCTGTTCCACCAGCACTAAGTACAATAATCAGTCAATATTTGTTTAGTGTTTCTGGCCACTCCAAAAATTATCTAATTAGCCTCCTTTCGTAAAGTATAATCATATATATTTTTTCATAAGTTGAGCTCATGTTTTAATAAAAATGTCTTTAAACTTTTAATTGGTTTATTGATAAAAAAGAAATGTTATGAAACGTTATAATTACCTGCTACCAGCAAGAACGAGTTGCTTGGCTTCTAAGAGACCGACAGTTAAGAGTTCACGAAGCACCTCCTTAATAATCAAAGACCCCATAAACGAGTAACCTATGGCATAAAAGAAAATATACAAGTTAAAATATCATAGAATGATTCTCCATTAATAGTCTCCATTAATACTACATTTGCAATACAGTATAATATTTAAAATAAAAACAAGTTCCCACAATTAACGTATCATTTTATATCTTGTGTAATAAAGACAAACAAAAAGTACAGAAAAAAACCCAATAAAACAAATGAAAAAATGGGCCGTTCCACTAAGACAAGTTGATAAGTTCTCACATTTAGGGGGCTTTCGATTTGTGCGACGACGCGACCCTAGAACGGAATCACACATGCGTGACCGTCCTACCTGACGTCCTACGTTTTCTGCATAAGTACGTAGATTTGGCCAAATTGCGTTCCAGAATCTACTCGACGAGGTGTGACCTTAACGTTCTCGCATGCGCAGATGACTTTTAGTGACGTCATTACGTTCTACGTCCTACCGTCGTCGCCGTGCAACCGAAAGCTCCCTTTTATAGGACGTGCGCGTGTTAAGTCAGTCTGATTAGCCAGTTGTTGAGTTAGAATGACACGCCAAAGAGATCAATGGAAACACAACAGTAAGCCTATCGCTCATCAAAAACGTAACTGAGTTTACGATAAAGTTTGCTTCTGACACCTACATGTGCCCATTATTTACGTATCGGTTACAAGTAGTATTTGAAGGAAATTCTTTAAAACAATTGTTTTAAACTTTTTTTTTAAACGACTATGCAAGTACACATTGTACGGTACTTGTTCATGAAGAATTATTGGAAGTTTATGGTTTGAAATGCTGTATACGCTACTATACCGTACCTATGCCTATTAATAAAATGTATACCATTATTACTTTATTCAGCACTGAAGTTTCATCTTGGCCTACCTGTTTCAGATGTGAATTTGGTTCCACTCCAAACATCACTCGAGCAGTATGGTATCATGCTATAAATAATTTAAAACGACACGTAAGAGTAGATATACATTGAAATATGTTGCAAAACTAATAAACCAAGTCTTGGCTGATGGAATTTTAATGGAATTAGTTTAATTATGAGTATACTTACACAACATTTGACTTCCACCAAATTGGATTTTCAACTGGATCAGCTGATAAAATACCAGTACCTGGAATTTATCCACATTAAAACGAATTATCAAATTATCGGGTTATAAGTAATTTACAACTCACAATTGCTGTCGTGTTTATGACGTCAAGACTTCCACACAATCGATTACAACTTTTTTATTTATTTTTTATTTATTCGACTTTACACAGGCAAAAATACAATAAAATATCAATGAAATAAAACATTTCCGGTGACGGGAAAAGGCCAACGGGTGGACAAATTACACCTCTGATATCGGCCGATCCCGAATTGCACAAACCAAGATATAAACTGAGCCTCTTATTGATTCATAATCGTACTTACCCTTCTCTGTTTGTGGCCATGTCCGAGACCCTGTTAGTCTAGGTGAATTATCTCTCCGCCAGTTACAGCTTGACCGATCATAACAATATGTTCCACCTATTTTTTGAAATATACCGAACGATATTAAACCGAAAGTGTTTACTATTGTCAGTTAGAATGTCGTTTCTGTTTTTTTTTTTTTTAAATTTTCTAAAAAAATCTTGTTTTCAAATAACTGTTACACAGGTCTATAGTTACATATTCATCTTAAAGTGGTGTATACTGTCCCATTGCCTTTGGTTAGTTCACGCACGGTGAAAATAGTGCAAATAATGAAGACGTAAACTTTGATACTATGTTAGTGATGGTTCCCATAAAATCGCTAGAATGTCGCTACGGGGATTTCACTGCAATCGTTCGCTGCGTACAATCCCCGAGCAATAAGAAATCAGCGTTACAGAAGTTTGCCGGCGACAGCGTTTACCGATTATATGAAAACCAGGGTTTAATTATATTTTTATGCCGGTTTTCGATATCGTATTAGTGTAATTACAATACTGCAATTTACCTTGTAGAAACACGAGCCATCGCTTACTGTCACTTATCTTACGTAGATAATACCTGGAATATAATTATGGAATGTAAACGTTACGACGTATTCATGGAAACAACATTTATCATATCTATGTAATCCTATGGATAAATACATTTCTTATCTATTATCAATAATTTATTGTTTATGAATCTACAATAGAATAGAAAAGACCGGCTTTACATCTGGCCGCTTATTGAGTAACGAAACGGCACTGATTCGAGTTCAAAATAAGTAGACTTAAATCAATATTTATCGTCTTCGTCTAAGCCTAATTAATTTTGATCTAAAAAGTGGTAACCGCATTAACATTCATGTAGACCGTTAGGATTATCCATTACAGTAGTAACAGGCATAAATAAACAAGGATTAAATGGACGCCGGTGAGTCATTTGATCCAGTCACTATTCCGAGTACAGTACAGTGCGGTACTTTGGTAGACCATTGTTTTAACGTCACTATTGTTTACAGCTTCCGGTAGAAAAATTAGGTGTGTAACAACTAAAGAACGTACTGTAGCCTACATACTTGTCTTTTTAACTGTAGTTTAATATTTTAAGTATTGTCTTCTTAAGTATAGAACAGGACAATATTGTAAAACTTAACGGTAAACCGTTGTTATCATGTATAAAGATGATTTTAAATAAATAGATAAATAAATATGCCAAATCTATATTTTTATTAATGCATGTTCTTTTAAAATGCACTTACCCTGCAGGTGATCCGTCGTTACATGTTATTGATTGATTTTTCAACAGTCTTAAGTGCATCTTTGGTAGTTTTAAGTTCACACCGCAGCTTCTTAATGAAAGAGCAAGTTTCTTCATGTCTTCTTTTTGGTTATTGGTTAAGTTAAGAACATACTCCTTCTGGTCAGACTCTGTGGTATATCCCTCTGTCATTAGAACGATGGACGTGCAAACAATTATAATACTTATCATTGTCATTTTGAAATCAGGTATACTAATATCTGAAATTAAAACGATTTTCGATTGAGCTACATTCAGTTGTGTAAATAATAACTTGATTTTATTAACAAGGCAATCGAAAGCTTAACGTCGTATCTGTTATCGACCAAACGTTTTAATTAACGAAGTATACTATACGTAACTTTTTAAAGTGTTTCCAATACACCATTACTAAGTAGCATAAAGGCTACCATTTACCTATAAACCAGCTAAAATTACATTATCATTAAACATATAGCCGATATGACTACATAAAACAGATGCAAACATAAGAATGAACATTGTAATAAAACTCCATATCTGAAAAATTTTTCCTCGTCGATATATTGGGGCCTACAACAAATAATTGGTCAGTAAGATACAGATTCGATTAGGCAATTAACATTTTGAAAATATCAGAAGTTGGTTTCACTAAATTGGTTAAGGCTTACATTAAGTTTAGTTAGTTTCGGAGGCCTATATGGTGGTGGTACGACTGCAGCCTGCGATTATTTGTCACGCTATAAAAACAACACTCCAGGGATTTCTTAAATTACTATTTGGTTTCTTATTATTAATGGTTCTCTTAACACGATTGGAGAAAATTAAGAAGCGATGTGTAAATGTAACCCCCATGCCGTTAACTTTTTAGATAAAACGCGTGCACCGCAAAGGCATGCGATATTAATTTGCGCAGGTACCGTAACTAAAAGGTGCCGGTCAGTAGTAAATATTTCTTACAAACGTACAAATGACGATAGTAGATGACAAATAAATAAATGAAAATACAAAAAAAAAACAACATACAAATTATCGCACTTACTGTATTATTCAGATGAAAGTAAAATCCTAATCTGTTTTCTTTTCTGTAAAATGCAGTCTTAGAAAATATGAAATCTGATGTGTTTCGGGGAGAACGGACGAGGTTATCGACCGATCGGTCCCGTAAAACGTACACAACTACAAGTTGTCAAATATTAAGGGAGGTCGTAAGTACTTGACACTAAGGCCCATGGGGACCGGTAGCCGACAGAAACAAAGACGTTCCAAGGAAGCACTTCTAGCTTATTCTGAGCAATCACTTTGGAAAAGTAACACCTTGGTTGAAGGAATTTCTTCAAAGAGCAGCGACAGTGACTTAATCCCTAAAGTACTGATTCACCAATTTGCAATGTTTGGCTATGGGAACAGGTTTCGGTGAGATGAAAGGATATCGGATCAAACGTTTTATGAATATTCATGGCATAGAGCCTATAGCAAAAAGTCTACATTGAATGGAATTAGATACAGTAAAGCAGTAATGTTAAGCAATGATGTTACATGAGTTTATTACAGACGATACGTTTAATCGGTAAGATAAAAGGATATTTTACTGTGCCGCATACATTTGATTTTCAGTTCAAAGTGTAGGCCTAATAGGCCTATTCTAAATAACAATGGCATGGAAACTCTATCCTTAGAACAAATGAAAGTCATCATTCGTTTTGTCTTTTTCATACTGTATCGAATCCCCGATTTTGATAAGTCTCAGATCGGATAGAGCGGATAAACGTTATCGACTAAACTGAACCTCTTTTTAGCAATTACCGATGCTGTATACAAAGATGGTATAAGCAAAAAGATCGCCAAATTTGACCTGCACGATCAATAGAGAACAATACTTTAAAGAAAAATATGTCTATACTACAACTGTAAAACTTATCGAACTGGGCCGAAGCCCAGTCGATAATTGGCCTAAATCGACTGAAATATATTTTATGCTGTCTTTGTATTTTAGGATTAATATCGGGTATAGTTCGGCGCAATTGTAAAATTCGTTAATTAAAGTAATGCCGTCTGTAATTCAGCAATATCGAATAGCCCTTTTAAAAGGATATACATTTATTAACTTCAAATGTAAAAAGATAGGCTACAAAGATCGAAACAATCAATTTGTTTCACTGATTAACACTTACCGGACGAAAATCCTTAGATTACAAATGTAATATGGACTATAATAGGCCTAAATTCTCCCTATACCAATTGTGGTACTAATTATTTTGTACGCATCTAAGCATACATCTTTGTTTGTACTGGGGAAAAGCAATCAAATTACTACGTACCAGGTAAACTGTACGTATAAACGATGAAATGCTACTCAAGCGGTAATAAGAGAACCGGTACCTCACTACCTCATTAGTGCGACGGTAATATGCCACAACAGGACACTTGTGTCTGAATTCTGAACACAGTTACTCTGATTAGATCATGAAACATTTACTATAAAAAGATGGTTTGCTTCTTAAAATAGGACAGGCATATTTAAAAAATGTAGGGCCTAAGTTAGGCTTACTTGTTTATGAGCCAACATGTGCCATCATTGAAATTAAATTACGGTGGTTTATCACAGAGCGGTCTTTGGAATACAATTAGGCCCTACTGTAATGTATTTAACTGCTGCTATTCTATGCGTATGCCCTACTACAAACAATCATGAAAAACCCTTCTCAACTCTTAAGAGTAGAGTCGTTTAGACAAGGATATAGTTACCAGTGGCGTTACTAGAAGTCTTGAATTGGTGGGGGGGGGGGGCGGGGCTCGATGATCAGTTGAGGGGCGCTAATTCGCAAAATATGGTGATTTTTAACAACCTGACCGTGATTTTTGGGGGCGACTGGGGGGGGGGTGAGTAATTTTTTTAGGGAGGGGTCGACGTGCCCTCCCCTAGATACGCCACTGATGGTTACAGCTTCTGTCAGAGAAGCACAAAATAATAAGTGAGAGTGTTGTGGGTAGGTACCGGGTGATCGTATGCATATTCCATTAATAAGGAATGAAGTCTATTTAGTATTATCGATGCGATCATTGGTACAGTACATTAAATAAGAAATCACAAGGTCTATTAGAATATTTATGTCATTGGTATAATTGAATTATAGTTACCGGTAGTCCTAATAAAAAATCCTACAAGATTAAAAAAGTTCGACAACTAAAAAAAAAAAAAAAATACATTGCTAACAAATCAAATGAAGGCTTAGTTTAATTTAGATTTATTCAGTTCATTCAGATATAAAATAGTATAAAAAAACGACAAAATATCATACAACAAAACAAATGACAACGTTATCTGTATGAACCGAGGAAATCCAAGAAATTTGGAAAAAGTTACAATTTAAACGTTCATATGAATTTAAAAAGAATGGTATTGAAATCGGAATAACAATATTATGATTGATCAACTTGGTTGTATTGATTATGAAAAAAATCTAAAGTGACAATAAAATTGATTGAGGAATATTTACAAATCATTAAATAACACCAACCGTAATTTGGATTTTATCGTTTACCAAAAGGCTGCAAACTAGGACATCATGAACATAGATTGATATTCCACAGCTCGGGATACACCCTTGCCTTGCAGACACTCAACGGCTTGTTATATTTTCAATAAAATAATGTCCAAATTTAATTTTAGAGAGTTAAAATGCTCGTATTTCAAAAACAGGAGCATTGATTCAAATCCTGCAAAAATCAATATTTTCTATCTGCTCCTTTCTTCCAATTGTTGAAACCAACCAAGGGATGATCCAAATACATGTTGTAATATGTCGGTAATTGACATCTTCCTGGTATAATTGTCTCAAGCAGGGAGTTGTTTATCACAGAAAGAGTGTGCCAAGTTATTTTACTACAGTCGCCACGACACTCCTAAAGCTATTCAATTTAAATAAATTGGTTTTTCTACCAGTTTCGAAAGTTTGTCAGCACGCTTTCCTTATTGAAAGAAAACTCAAAAAATGTAGGAATAAGCATACCTACCTACCTGACTAACGACTGTTTCGGGATATGATTTGTCGGCTACTATTTTGTAACTATTTATTGTGTATGAAAATACCAACTAACCAAGAAGATATATAAACCTAATAATTTTATACCTCCATGAACCAAACATCCGTTCGATAAATTTGTTCAACTGCAGTACACAACGAAATAAATGTATTTACAAATCAATCTTTTTAGGGTGAAAATCTAAACAAAACCCCATCGTTAAACGACTGTTTCGGGATTTGCTAATTATTTTTATCCACTTACCTTTTTAACTATTTAGTATCGGGACAGTGACAATTCCAAGAAGATATATAAACCAAATATCCGTTCGATAAATTTGTTCAACTGCGTATATACGGTACACAATGAAATAAATATTTACAAATCAGTTTTTAGAGGGAAAATTCAGACGAAACCTCGTCGTCCAACCGTAATTAAACGAATGACTTTCGGCACTTCTCAATCGAAGAAAAATGTCTGCAATTATCGACGTCACACTGTGTTTATTTACCTATGTTTACTTGGTCTTTATACTGAGATACTAACTTTCAAATTACTCTGGGGCTCCAATACCTTTGATCTTTTCCTCTCCGATATACTTCGCGCTAGGATGCGTATTCTTGACAGCGATATACCGCCGTCCTCCTTGGCGAACACAAACAAAACTGGCAGGCGATCGAGTCGGCGACAACGCATAGGTCATGGGCATCTCATCTGGGAAACAGTTCGAATTATTTGTTTGACAAATTGCTGAATAAACCACGATATTCGGTAAGTGGGAATATGATTCGTGGTTTTAGAGGCCGCCAGTGGCTGACGAGTAAGGTCACAGATTACGTTTATTTGCCCGGAGGGTGAAAAGATACGTTCAACGACTTCACTAACCTCCCGCACCACATCGATGCTGCAACATCAGGTGGGCGCGACATCAATTTATTGAAATCTTAATTAATGTTTCGTTTGTAGCCGTAATTCCTAAGAAATGCTAATTTTATTGTTGTATAGGCCTATACCAAAATAAGCTCATAAACGAAATTTGGTTCCATATCAATAAATTAATTGTTAAAACGAATTGGATCGGTACGAGTTATTTTGAAGTAAACAAATTGTCTGTCGGATTTTTTTTTATTTTTTAATCAACGTTCGATATAGACTGCAGTAATTATGACAATATTTATTATTGGTAAAGTGGACTTCTAATGATAGAGTACACCATCCTATTCGACATCCCTCTAATTCTGACACCACTTTTCAAATTGTCGATCTGACGTGTTATAGTACTGATGCTGAGTAGGTTCCCAAATGTTTGCGAAAAAAGTGATTCGAGTGGGAATCGAACCTACGAGCGAGCTCCACATAACTAGCTTTGTGTCTTAACCACTCGACCACTGAGGTTGCACTTGGTAGCTAGTGATGAATCCGATCCTCAAGTAGCAGTGCGTACTGCATGCTCGGATTTTTTTAAATTTTTTTTTTTCGCCAGGAGAATAATATGAAAACATGTTTGTTCTGGTTATATTACTGAATGTTCAGTACGTTCCCAATGTTTCCGAAATATAATCTCACAAGTGGAGTCATGGGTTTGATTCCTCCCAAATCACTTGCGAGATATTTTTCGCAAGCATTTGGGAACGTACAGAGCATTTATTTCTCCTAACGCAAAATACGCTATCGGAAAGTAGACCTAGCAACTAACAATCTTCAATCTTTAAACACAAATCTTACCAAATTTTTCGGGTCTCAAAGTGTTCTTGAGTGTGGATTAACTGTAATGAATAGTCATGCCTGTTTCTTCACTGGCTTGGATACTCATTAGATAGATACTCGTCCTTTATCACTGCGCAGGTATTTACTTTATTAATTTGTGTATAGAAGATACAGATGAAGATATTATTTATAATTATTATATATGGACCATAAAGTCTGGGCTTCATCCATTGCATGGCTTATGTCTGTTCTCAATTCAATGTTTGTATACGCCTATTTGTTTGGATTGTCATTATTTCGTTAAACTGAATGCGTAATCAGTTAGTGTGGAGTCTAAACTGGGTCATAGATCAGGAACTTGTAAACAGAATAAATTTGATTCAAGAAATGTATGAAAATGTATGCCTGAATGTGACCTGTGATATTCGGCGTAGGCATAGAAGTAATACGTAAATGTAAATATTTTATAGTACGCAAAGCATGTTTACCTAGGCCTAAATTATTGTTGTTATTCTTTTATTTATTTATTATTTAATTTACGGAAAATCGCCCAAAGAAAGGCTAAAATAATCACTTTAGGTAATAGGCTAGAAATCACGCGCTCAGGAGCAAGCACCATCATAATCATTATTGTTATCGTTGTTTTCGTTATGTATAAAAAACAAAACACTGAAAAACAACTAATAACGACATATATAAAAAACGGGATTGGTAAGAGAACATTACAATGATGTAGCCAACCATATCATTAAAAAAAGTTTAAAAATGATACGATTTATTGAGTGGAAATTTGTGCTGAGTGTGTGTTAGAAAATAACATCCAATGTGTTTATTTTACTTGGATTGTTTGATCGATTAAGCGATAGTTTGATTGCTTGATTGATTAGGCCTGGGTGTTATCATGAAGGCGAGAATCTAAACTAACAAGTCGTTTCTTCATGTTCACCATTCCGAAGTTACATATCTACTTCGAGTTCAAAAACACGATAATCGACCAAACGTAGAATTAGGTCTATCATGCCCTGGGCAAATGACGGTAGTAAACTTTCACCCAAAATCAAAGAAAAAAACGTGAGCATTTAAGTAGATAATGAGGTTTCCCACATAATCTGCCGAGTGCGGTATGTTTGAGAGGCGTATTTCTGACATGTTTCACGGATTTTTTACTCATCTTCATAATATTAATGACCGCCATGTGTAAGCCTACAATACGTAATTGAATTCTCTTGCTTCTAGTAATAATATTTAGTAATTCCAAAAGGGACGTGGTTAGTAAGTAGGCCTAATAACCGGTATCATGAGTGTCCAAAATGTTATTTACAATAACAAACACACTGTAGCTTAAAACTTCAAAAATCGTTTGTTGATTTTGTTTTTAGCATAGGCACAATTTACATCGTTTCTTAAATTGTTCAGATCTGAAAATTATTGATAACGAAAGTATAAGTACTAGTTCCATACACACTCAAGGGGCGGCCACTTTTCATGGTAAAAATGGCCACCGATACCTACTTCAGGGCGTTTCAGTTTTATCACGGACGCTTGTATCGTACACAGTAGGCCTATATACAATTAGGCCTACGTCACTGGAATATTGTAATGGCCACAGTCGAAAACTATGGTCGATGACTTGTCAGATATTCCGATTAGTGGTCCCAGCTGTAGTTGATATAATCGTTGTATTATTATACACCACGGGAAAACTTAGGAAGATATAATGAGGGAGGACGGGTACGTTTCTTTTTGACAAAACAACTCCAGAAAACTTGCAAATTACAGTGCATAGCCCATTCCCCTCTCCGGTGGCGTATCTAAAAGTCTTGAAGTGGGGGTGCTGAAAGGTGGGGGGGGGGGCTCGATGATCAGCTGAAGAGCGCTAACTCGCAAACTAATGTGATTTTAACTACTTGACAATGTCTTTTGGAGGGGTGTGATCCCCCCCCCCCAAGATACGCCACTGCCCCTCTCCTCATTTGAATAAGAATCTAAATGGTAAAAAACAAAGGATACCATTAAATATTTATTTCTTAAGAGTGGAATTTTCTGTCTTCTAGTGGTGCGATAGCCATAATAATTACTTACCCCTAATATAATTATCAATGTATTATTATTTTTATTGAATATTATTATTATTGCTGTTATTGTTATTATTTTGTATACATCATAATGTGCTGTTAATATTTTTACTGGTATGTACCGGTACAATATTTTGACTTCTGCATCAGGGGCTATACAGTACTTTAAAGGAAGTTGGGCATTGCAAAACTACTTACTTAGTCTCCCCCACTCATACCTCGGCGATGTTATGCCTATTCTCTAATATATATTCATACTTGCCAATATTACATTTTGTATGAGGTGGAAATAAACAATCTGATTTACTGATTAATATTACTAACAACGACGACGAGAACTGCGATAATAATATTATTTATCAAAATAAAAAAATCGAAATTAAAAGACTAGATTCGTAATGAGATGAGACTGTAGGCCACTGTATTAAATAAGTCAACAATAACGCTCCAAATCATCACATTTTTTTATTGCTCCTATAATCACAGATATAAGAAATAAAATTAAAAGATAATCAGAGTTAGAAACCCGAGAGCTCCACAATGTTTTGAATTTAAAATAAGACCAGTAAAATAAAATGTCAAACCCATGAGATTGAACTCTGCTTCAGTAATTATTTACCAATATGGATAGATACAAAAACAGGAATATACTCTATTAAGCCATAAAATAAATACTAATAAATAAGCATATACATAAATAAATTAAATATTTCAGAAATGGATATATTGTGAGATGCATGCAAAGTAACCGAAGGAACTTGCACAAATTTGGAAGTTTAAAGTACCCCTACTAAATTAATGTTCTATCAATATACTTTGTCAGTTCAATAGATACTGATCATTCCCATAATAATGCCATGGGAACCGATACACACAATGTTAAAATATCTTCAATTTGTTGTCATTAACTACCATATTATGGTAAGACCTGACAAGAATACAGGCTTATATACTGTACAGCATTATCAGAAACACATAATTTAATCTAGGTGTTTCCAAGTCGGTGCTATAAAACCTCTCAATTCGATTACAGTAAAACATTTAAATATTCATTTAAACTGTCTATTTTATAGGCCTAGTTTACTTAATGTATTTTACTGAATGTTTCGTCATTTTTAATAACTTCATTATCTTTAATATAAACTCTATATGCTCCAAAATTTGTGAACACATTTTTATGTTTTTTTCAAAGTACACTATTTTCATGGACATGGACCATACTTGCAACAAACCTTGAATATATAAATATTTTAAACAATAAAGAATATATTGTATATATATATATGTATGTATATATATATATAATATTCTTTATTGTTTAAAGTTTGTATATAAATACTGTATATATATATTGAAGTATAAGGTTAAGATCATCTGGAGTAGAGTGGTCTATACCGGGGTAGAGCTAAATACAAAACGAAGGCAAAACTTGATTAATTCATATTATTTAATTAATAATATGAAGTAATCAAGTTTTGCTTTTATTTTCTTTATGCCAATATATTATATATAGCCTTATATATATTATACATTATTATTATATGCATTTTTTATTAATCTAGAATAAATTTACCTCTAGGTAGTTTTTTTTTTAACCACAACACCAAATATGACAAAGGGCAGACCTACCATGCATAAACTACATTTTATGTAAAATGGTAATCCGAATCAAACTGATTTCATAAATGGCCCTTTAGGGTTCTTGAATTTTTTTAATTTATTTACTTTGTATTGTATTTAAGTCCCCAGGGAAGAACAATCTTGTGTTGATCTGGTTAAATAAAGTTGAACTGAACTGACTTTCTCTCACCCTATTTGGCTGGTAAATGGTAACCAACTGGCTAAAATCTATATTAAATGTATTTCAGACTAAAAAATTAAACCCTCATGTATTTCGATCTCATTTTTGGGGGAAATGCTAAAAAAAAGCTAACCATAGATTTTAAGAATTTGGTCGGACAGGCTTGGGCAACACATAGGAGGGGAGAAGGGTTTCAATTAAATGTATTTTTGTTTATTGATCAACGTATTAATTTCTGTTTTACTTTATGTATATGTTGATAGTGAAACCATCAACAGTAAATAAATAACCTACATACAGTACTTAGTCACATGACCAATTATTACACTCAGGAGCCATAAAATAATGGTAATTATAAACTCATTAAAACAATGTTGATACAATAAGTCTAAGTCTAAGTCCAATTTTTATCAACCTCGATTAAAATAAAGTTTAAGGTTAAAAGACAGACCTAGAAGGCTTACTCATCATGACTGTCACTTATGAAATAAGTCAAAATTGAAGAACTTATTTTTATCACAAATATTGATAAATATTTTCATCATTACATTTTTGAAGTTAAAAAGGTTGCTAAGAACTATTGATGGATAACTGCAGACAACATATTATAATGTGACATATCTGAAACGGATAGCTGTTCATAAAAATGTCATATTTCAGACGGGTCCATTGCAATGTAGGTGCACTTCTCTCACCCCTAAAAGGTGAATGTCTTTACAGTAGAAGAGGACTGTGATCCAGCTTCAGACAACCTAAAAAAAAGGAAATATAGATTTTAATAATAATAAATAATAATAATAATAATAATATTAATAATAATAATAATAATATTAATAATAATAATAATATTAATAATAATAATATTAATAATAATAATCTTAATAATAATAATCTTAATAATAATAATAATCATAATAATAATAATCATAATAATAATAATAATAATATTAATAATAATAATAATAATATTAATAATAATAATAATAATGTTAATAATAATAATAATAATAATAATGTAGAAGTGGTTCAGCACAGCTGTGCATTTTGCATGTGTCCTGATATACAGCAACAACACTTAAGCATGTGAATCCAATGACCTGGGACAGAAGTGTTCGTATTTGAAAAGGCACGATAGGAATTACTGAATGAATAAATATATAATAACATGTAATTATTTTCAAGCTTTGAGGGCTGTACTAAGTTGATGAGGTACTGTACTGGGTCTGCAAAGAGGTAAACAGATCTGTATTGAAGCATGGGGATGATGTAATGGGTCCATAGAGTAAAGTCTAATGTGTTATTAAACCAGCCATTAACTTTTTACAGGGTAAACTTTTCCAGATGCTGATAAAAATGATGGAACAACAGAAAATACTACAAATCTAATAACAAGAGTATAAAAATAATCCTTTAGGGAAAGACTGCAGCTGGATTATGATTTATTTCTTTTTTCTTTTTTCCTTTTGTATCTTTCTTATCTAAAGCTCTATCTAAACTATCAAATTTAGAATACTTAGAATAATTTCTAAGTTGAATAATTTCTAAGTTGCTCTTATTTTACATGCCAAATTGCTGTTTTCCATTGATTAACAATCTGTAAGTCAAATTGTATCTAAGTCGAACAATATTTCAATGGCATTTTGGATCCAACTTAGGCAAGTTCAACTGTAATAAGAATAATAATGATAATAACATGAAAATAACAATAATAATAATAATAATAACAATAATAATAATAATAATGTTGATAATAATGACAATAACAAAAAAAAAGTTTAAACAATGATCAAGCTGATTAATAATGATTGTTATTCTCAATTTGCACTCCTTTCTAGATTCTCTCTCTTACGATCTTCTGATTACTATCAAGATTTGTTTTCTTTTTTTTCATATTTTTCTCCATGTGTTGTAAAATGCAAAATGCCCTTGAGTTCAAATGAGTTCATCTGACATAATTATCATAACTTGTTGCCATAGAAATCAGACAATACAGAAGAGGTTATTACGAATACAGCAATATCCTGACCTGCTTCATTTGATGGAATTTGGGTTGAGTAAATGCTAGAATAGTAATCACTTATAACAATGGTATACCAGTGCCTGGATAATATTTTTGAGTGCCTAGATGCATGTGCAAAGTACCTGGGGAATCCCATAAGCAAAATCTAGTTCAGCAGCACTTACACACCTGTTTTAACTGCAGTAAAGCAATAAAACTGATAAAAGTTGTTGGTATAACAACATGTTTATAAGTTTTGATTCCAATTAGCGAGTTCAAAGGCAACAGATTTGACAAATTGGGTGTCTGAACAGTTAGGAAATAACAGGCTTTTAAATTGATTGAGGAAATATAAACTTTGCAATCAGAACATCAAACAATCCAGCTGACAACTCTATGACACTAATCTATGCATTCAAGTAGGCTATAAGAGAAAAAGTAATACAGTACTGTATTGTACAAGATAATAAAAACCCCAACATAATAATAACAATGGATTTATTCTATGTAAACACCAAGGATAGCCCACGAAAGTCTAGAAAAAGACTTACGTCCAGTGAGGTCCTTCTGGTGGTGATTGGGCAGTACAACGGGAGACAATCCCTACTCTTTCCTGAAGAGTGTACTGCATTCTTTAATGTGCACATGGGCCATAATACACACAGGAACAACGGCTTGAACGTCTCACCTGTAAGACGGTGCGCTATTGTAACTTGTATTTCAGCCCTCTAGCTGAAACACAAGGAGAGGCAGCGATGGGAATTGAACTAGGGACCTAGAGATCTCCATGGTCCAGCGCACACACAGTGGCTACCACCAGATTATTCGACTGAGCCGACTTTTACACCGAACAAATCCAACCTAATCCAATCCAAAATTCTCCTCCATGTAAAGATTAAAGATTCCCTTTTTATCTTTACTACAGGAAATAGCAAACATCCTTAACTTTTTTTTTCCCCGATTTATGGGGGATGGGGTTTACTGTACATGCACCCATCACACCACCCATATAGTGGCCTAGGCTTAGACATTCCCAATAATGAATGTTGTCCCCTCTTATTTATGCATGTATGAATATGCTTATGCCACTCAAGATTGTCAGAAACATCAATTTTGTACTAAGAAATTTATAATAACTTGAATATAATCTCAATGCCTGCAATGATTTGTAGTCAAACTTGATCACTTACTGTGGTTTTTCATCAGGGTTGAAGTTGCTTTTCAAACCTTGCCAGCACTTAAAGTAGTCTTCATCTACTCTTAGACATGTCTTATTACCCCATTCTGTCAACGCCAGGCTAAGCGAACTCTCAAACATGAATGCCTAATAAAATTAAAAGGATAGGAAATGTGATGAAATACAATGTTTCAAAACAACGTGTATAATAATAATTGGACAAACAAAGGGCATGAAAAACTTTAAAAATTAATTATTAATAATACATCAATTTGATGACAGAATTTCTATATTCTTTCATATACCATAAAATACATATCAATAATTGATTGTAAAAAGTCTATGAATCATTGAAAACAGATTTTTGAAATTATTGATCTGTAACTTCAAAAAGTTTAAATTCTGTACACAAATTTGTGTGATAAGTCCATATAAGGGCATGATGATGTCATAATACACCCAAATATGGGCATATCACAGTTAATTGTCACATACAAGTTGATAATATGAACAAAGCTTAAAAGCAATTTAAAGGTGTTTTTTGATTTTGGGTGGCAGTATTAATATATGTGAAACACCCAAGTACAAGACAGCTAATATTTGCTGGTACTTTTTCAGTATGATGAGTAATAATGGACTGCTTACCATAGTCCCGTCAGCGATTCTTTCAGCTTTCAAATCAGCATTTGACGCTTTCTGAAAGCAGTCAGCATCAGGTCCATGTGGGGTCATCATGCTGTGCAAGGTACCTCCGCCAGGCCGGAATCCCTCCTCCTTCAAAATACATAAAAAACAGTACAAAGAATTAAAACATACTGTTATAAAAAGAAACATTCAAAAGTAAATCCATAGCCTAGACTTCAAGAAATAGTAACAATTGACATTCTCTAAAGAAATCTCACACTAGCCTTTAACAATTTCAATGCTTTATTAATATTAAGTAAAAGAACAGAATATTTTATACTATACTTGTGAAGAATATTTTTAATCTTTTTTAAATTTTATTATAAAATATTAATACAATACACATACATACTTTTGCTTCATATTTGCCTTTGATAAGCCCCATAAATTCACTCATACAATTACCTATCAAAAATATAAATTAATACTTAAGAATTTCAGAAATAACTATTACTGTATTATTATCACGTCATATTCAAATAACAATTAAATTAATTCATTGTTCTTTGGTTGGTTAACTAATACAAATGAAACACTTATTACTTGAATGATACAGTATGTAAAATAATTGTTCCATAGAGAAAATTTTCTAAAATAATTGGTTTTCATTTAATAACTTTAATAATAAAGTATGTTTTGCTAGGCCCATGAAAACCCATGGAAGCCACATTGTAGCACCTTTCGAGCACAAGCATGTATGACATTAAGTTTTGGTATATGGGAATCAAAAGAGTTACAGGAAGTAGCCATGTTTCTGATAAAATGGGTTGGGCTGTTTGTAGCCTACAGTGTACTTTCCCTTTAGACTGAAATATATCATACCAGCAAAAAAATAATGTATAATAAAAAATTATAGCAATGTATGTATGACCTAACCGATTTTGATGGGTAAGCAGAATCGTTCAGGTCCATGACCTGACCAATGAGTAGAGTTAATAACTTGGTGGTTAAGATGTTTGCCTTCTAATCCCAGGGTCCTGCGTTCAATTTCCTGTGCGACAGCATGATTTTTTTCTCACGAACAAAACAACTCAACTCCTTAAGTCTTATTATGAAAATTAGTTATTAAAGCATAACTGGGGTCTGCGGGAGAACACTAGATATCTACTGAACAGGACACCCGGTATATAGAAGAAAATTAGCCAGGTTCACGACCTGACCGATTTTGATTGGTAAGCAGAATCGATCAGGTTCATGACCTAAACAAGACTCAGGAAGAATTCCGTAGATAATTATGTATGCACACTTAAATGTAGTTGGAGCCAAATTGTTAAATTGTGACTTGTAGTGGTTACTTTAAGACTTAAAAAAACTGTATTATATTAATTCAACTTTGTGGTAGATGGTCACATTTACATGCGTTTAACACAAATGTCACAGTTTGGAAACTTTAGTAATAGTAATATATATTGAATCAATTTCATATAACTTACGGTGATAGTACGGCGGTCTAAAGGTGTGCTCTTGTACAGACCATCGTGGTGGAAATATTACAAAATCAGCAATGGCCACACCTGGTTTGGATGATTGACAAGTTAGTACAGTGAAGATTGATGGATCCTAAAGATTGAAATGAAAGGAATTATCCAGAGAGGAAAATGTGTAAGAGGTTTTACATTTATACTACAACAACACCATTGTACTCGGAAGTAAATAAACATGAAATTATGGGACTTGACCTTAATCATTTGCATAGTAACCCCTGTTTGTACTTCCGGGGTAAGCAAATATCAAGTTTATTCTTGTTCTTTTTATGGCTGAAACAGAATGATAATGATAATAATGTTAATGATGACAATGATGATGAAGGTAATGGCAATGTTATAAATTATGAAACATATGTGATGAGCAACTAACATATGACAATGAAGTGACTAATATAAAATATGAAAACAATACAGAAGAAACTTACAGCATGGTCAAATGCCACTACATTTATCACCATAAAATTGTCCAGATCATACTTGTAAGGTGTATAGTTGCCATGCCAAGCCACTACATCAAATGGAGAATGATCCTGTTGAATATATAATACATTTAAATGTGAGTAACGTCCCAATCATCTCTAATTCAAAATTAAAAGTAGACCCCAACAAATCCACTTCAGCGTACATAAAAATAGTGTCATCTCCACTGTGCGGACAGTAGTATTATAAATTAAGAACATGTTGCTTGAGGTTGAAGTAAAGTAGTTAGGGGGAATGTTCGCTATAAAAAAAAATCATAGGGTACATGCACACTATGCTTGTCTACTTGATTCTCGTCACAGTAAGGTGTGATTAATGTTGAAGAATTAAATGTGGTTCAGATTTAACTGTAAATTAGGCACACTCCACAGGGAGTGAAGGAGGTGCTGTGTTTATGTATCCAATGAGCAGGGATAATTTCCTGCACCCTAGAAGAGGTCAATAAGTTGATAGGTCGTTTACAAATACTGGTTTATATTAAGTTGTTGATTAATAAATTACATACTTTTAAATTAAATATTGATTAATTTAGTTCATAATTCATTTAATTCGTAATTGGACTTTAGAACAAGAAAGGACCACATAAGTTATTGATATACACAATGCATCTAAGTAAAAACACTGATATATATATCTTACAGATTTTTTAACTGAGTTTCAATTATTAAATTTTACAAGCTGTTATATTCAGTGTTTTTTGAAAGACACATTACCTGCTCGGCTACAAACATTCTTCCTTGGAACTTGTTGATAATCGTGTAGTTACACATCCTCTCCTCATAGCAAGCAACAGGTGTCAAGAAATCACGAGGATTAGCCAGACCATTTGCACCTTTGAAGATAAATTAACAGGTCTGCAAACATCATGAACCAGTATAAAAAAAAACGAAAAAAGATGCACAGTATTTTACAGACTAACATCAAATTAGCTCTAGCTCACATTCACACAGTGAATTTCTTCAGGATGCTATGTGACCTCTTTCAGAAAAGTGCTACTGAGTCACAAATTTAGTAAAAAAGTACACTTTCATGGGTGTATAGCACTTGGCCTCATAGCTCAGTTTGTAGAGAATCCGCATGGCAATTGGAAGGTCTTGGGTTCCAATCCCATTGGGGACATACGTTTATCTCAATATTTATTATTTCTTATTGAGGAAATTCAATGGAGTACAGTATACCAGCTTAGGCTTTGGACCAAAACTAATGCATTCTGTAGACTTAGATCATATTTTTAGAATTTTTGAATTATATATGTATTGTATTAATATTATCATTGACATCATTATTACTAAGCATATTATTCTACTATTGTCCTAAATTTAAAGAAAATCAGAATTGAACATGAAAACATACCAATTGGTCCAAGATCCGGGAGAGCAAAGTGACCATTGTACACTTCCAATATATAGCCTCTAGAGGGCTCACTCACTTGAACAGAGAACCTCATGCCCTGCTGGATGACAAAGATCTCATTTGGTTTAACTTGCATTTTTCCGAATTCAGTGAGTACCAACAGAGTGCCTTGTTGAGGAACTACCAATGGGAAAAGGAAAAAAGAAAAAAAATGAGTTTAGAATATAAAGTGCATTGTTATAAAAGATGCTGAAATAATAGAAATTATATACTTGAAAAAGAGATATGGATAGGATTGGATTTCTTCAGTGTGATGTACACCGAAGACTTGTATCCAGTGGGGTCCTTCTGGTGGTGAATTGGGCAGTACACCGGGAGACAATCCCCTACTCTTTTCCGAAGAGTGTACTGTGTATTTTAACAATGCACATGGACCATTTTGCACACAAGACCAACCGTTTAAATGTCTCATCCGAAAGACGGTGCATTTTTTAAACTTGTACAGTATTTCAGCCCTCCAGCTGAAACACAAGGAAAAAAGTGATGGGAATTGAACCGGGGACCTAGATATCTCCTCGGTTCAGCGCACACAGACTGGCTACCACCAGTTTATCCAACTGAGCTAACTGCTCTCTGGAAAGTGATTTTATTTTCAGCAAGAGAAGAATCTTAATTGAGGAGCTTTTAAAGGTTGTGGAATTTTTCTGTAAAAGCTGAAGAGCATACAATAATGCACAAGATTTCATATTGGAAAAAAAAATGTTTAATATAAATGAGTAATAAAAATATAGTAAAAATAATCAATTGTAAGATTAGTAGTTATACTGATATTAAGTCAATAAACAAGATTTCTCACCAGTAGTTTAATATTACAATGACTATAATAATAATAAAAATAAATTTATATGAAATTTATCTCTTGTGACTCACCAATCAAGAAATCTCCATCAGAGCTGTACATACACCTGGGAATTTAAACATTTGTCACAGTAATTATCACTTGCTATATTAGTTTGACATTTATATAGCACATAGTCCGACGCCAGATTTGCATTTCAATTGTTAAACTTTAACAAGCAAGAACAGAATAGGTGAACAAGCACCTCTGCAGGGAAAAAAACATCAGAATATAACAATTCAACATCAGAATATAACAATTATTAATCATTCTACATTTATTCTTACTTGTCCTTCATCGATGCATTACAGGCATATATATGAATTGACAATCCATTTCTTGTCCTAGAATCTCCAGCACCACACAAAGTATTCAATCCCTACAATGACCAAAAAAAGTTGATATTATAACAATAAAGAGTGACAATGAAAATGTGATCACGTTGATCCTGACAAATCTCCATTTAAATATCAGTAACTAGTTTTTACTACATTATTAGAATTAATAATTAATAACAACAAACACAGAAGCAACCATAACAGCAAACACTACAGTATATTTTTTTAGGCTTGCCTTCTCCCAAACCAGCCTACATTCACTAAATATTAAACTGAGTAATTAGCGTAAGAATGTGGCAGTATTGTATACTTTAGTACAGAGAAGTTGTAATACTTTCACTCAAATCTTTGGCTTTAGTAAGTCGATTGCAGTAAATGACTCATCATTTTAAAGCTTATAATGTGGAGAATAAGAATATATTTAAAAAGTTAATTTTTATTTCTTGGTAACTGATGCAGGTTTTGGGATGTCAAGGTTCATTTATGATTCTCTTAACTAGTGAAGACATTTTTTTTTCTTTTTCGGAAAGCGATTAACTTAAATACTGTCAGCATTTCAAAGTATTTGAGGCTGAAAGGAAAAAATATATCTTAATTTCTTAAACATGTTTTTGAAGATAACTTTAAGCGTACCTGTGAAAAATCCACTTCTCCTTTAGAAGCATCAGGAATTGTGAATGGATGCCAACGAAGCTGACAAAGAGAAAAGAAATAATTGTTTTCCCTTACAAAATGATATATCTCAAAGGTCATTCAGAATTAGATGGGGATACAAAAGAACTATGGTAAAACTGTGTCACTTTATATGATAGGAGATAAACAAATTAATTAACGTTTTTGCAAGGATGATGATTCTGTTGATAATGACACATAAATGATGATGTTGATGAAAATGAAGATGACGACAACAATGACAATGATGAGGATTTTAGTGATGATTAAAATGAATGGGTAATGATGGTAATGAAAATTTAGAAATTAAATTGACTGTGGTGCAGCCAGTAGTATTTTTTTCATTTGTGTAATGCATCTATATATTGTTTCAGTGTTAACCAAGCTTTAGAATGATTATGATATTGATGATTAAATTGTTGTTGATGATGATAATTCCGCAGATAAAGATCATTACAAAATTCTCACCTGGTTTGGATCCGGTGGCCAGGAGTTCCAATCATCTCTCATGTTTCCATTTTCCAAAGATTTGAATGCAGAATGGACGGCAGAAGGACGGATTCGATACAACCAAGAGCGTCTGTTGTGCACACGAGGGGCAGTGAATGCCGTCCCTGACAGCTGTTCAGCATAAAGTCCATACGGGCACTTCTGAGGGTTGTTCTATAAGTAATGATAACAAAAAATAATTTAATATTTTAACTACCATAATCAATAATTATAATTTTATATTTCTGATAAGAAGAAATTCTCCATTTGTCATATATTGTGTGCTTAAGTGTACACTTATAGTATTTGTATTTACAAGCATGGTGTTCTTCAAATTTAAAAAAATTTGAAATTCAGCCTGGGTCATTGGGACAGTACACTTAAGAGAGTCCAAGGTGAGTTGAGCCCCTATATTATATATTGCATTCATTAATATTATAATTATATCAAATATACAGTAAGCTCATAAAAAAGCCAGAGTTTTTACAATAATGATTTAGTATGTCAATTTCTGGTTTAAAAAAAAAATTTTTTTCCTGGTGCCTGACAAGGTAGAAAAATCTGAAATCAGATTCAAATCTGAAGAATTTCATGCCTGTTTACTCTTTATTATTTTTGAATTCATTATTTTATTAAATAATATTGTATAAAATATTATGGGCTCTGAGTTTTTAAAATTTAAAGATTGTTGTTGTTTAAGGTTCTTACCTGTCCTTTTGGAAGTGAGCCAGGGCATCGTGGATCCTCAGAAGCAAACTCATTACCAAATCCACTCAGATACTAATAAAAATATATGGGATAAAGGTTTTAATAATTGATTTAAAAGCAAACTATAATGCTTAGGTGATACTGTGTCAACTAACCAAATACTGTAGTACGCATTATTATGTGGTATTGTTTTTGAGTTTCAGTACAGTATGTTGACATCACAAGTACTGTAGTCTTGTCATTTGAATCAAGTTTACTTGTCCACAATATTGCTACACTAAGTATAGCTGGAAAAGCAAAACAAAGTTGCTTCTTTCTATAAAATTATAGCTCTGTTTGATCAATAGACTTGTTGGATGTGGATTGCTGGTACTGTACTATAATGAATTAAAGGTAAATTCTCTTCTCAAAGCCGGATTTACAATACCGGTATATGCAGTCTATAGCAATAACACCAACTTAATTACTGTACATGTAAATGGCTGCTAAATGTCTACATAATTTATCCGTCCAGTACCAGTAAGTATTTCATAGAAATGAATTAATTATATAAGGAAAAAATTAATAAATTTGTAAAAAGTAAGCATGTTTATACATTTTGAATCAACCCTGCACTTATATTGTATCAAATACTTACTAGTAACGGTAAGACAATTGCAAAATTTGTGACTGTTAGCATTATTATGTACATTACAGTATGCATATTAACCACAGATACACTGTCACACAACAATTGATCAGGGGCTACCAAATATTTCTGGTGGTTTGAATCAACATGTAGTATGGTCCACTCATCACGTTGTGTTTTGAGTGGCTAAAAAAATCATGATAGTTTGTGTAGTTACTTACAGAATAGGCTCTGTCTGTATTGAGACATAGTTAAGTTAAAGACTGAAGGAAGTACTAAACAAGGAATATTTCCTATAAAAAATTGCCGCAACATTTTTACCTATTTCAATTTGTTTATACAGGCAATTCCAAATTTATCTTGTGTGAATTTTGTTATGTTATTTAAACTTAAATTAATTCCAAAGGGTATAGCGTGTAACGAGGTTTTTCAATATTGTTTTAATTTCATTTCCGATAAATACCATGAAATTTAAATTACCGTATTTACAATTGTGAATAAATTAATTCAAAAGGGTATTTTTGTTTACTGTCATTTGGTTTTCAGTGCCATAAATTAATTTCAAAAGGTTTAGCCTATAAAGAAATTAGATATTTTAATATTACTTTAGTTTCATTTCCGCTATACCATGACATTTACAGTAGATTACCATACTGATTGCTTCTTTATTTGGATTTTCAAAAATAGGTGCACAGAATTGCAATTACTGCAAAATAAATGGTTTATATTATTATTAAGATTAGGACTAGGCTAGGTCAAAGCCTAACTTTTGGCAAAATCTGTGTGGAAATCAGCCCTTATTAAGTTATTTTGCGAAATGTGCACTTACCTTACCTTAGTGATGGTCACCTTTGTGATATGAAGAGGCAATGAGTTTATAACTTGTGGGGGCTGCCTCTTCTCTTTACATGTGTATGTCTGTCGTAGTATGGTTTAAACATATGTTAAGGCCATTTTGCATCTTGAATTATTTTGCATTGTTGTTGCTACGGCAAACGCATTATATGTGGCTTATAATATACGCGCGTGTTGAGAATGATACAAAAGTATCTGTCAGTTCGGTCTTAAAATTCATCTGTTTCATCGACCCCTAGCCAAGCACACCTTGTAAGTAGGATTAATTGTATGCTATATAAACATAACTTAATTATAACATAAATGTTTAAAAATATCGCTATAGCATGTATTATATAGGCCTTTCATGCCAGTATAGGATATGAAGACCAATGATTAAGTCTTATTAATTGTTATTATGATTACAGTAGTTAACTGTGAGATTACCATTATTTATTATCAAATTGTTATGACATTGGTTTAGCCTAGACGGCATACCGTACGTACGAACGCATTGAGAAAATCAGACTTAATGTTTAATTGGGGTGGAAATAGACAAAACAATGTTGATGGAAGTAGATGTAACAATGTAGTTAGGCAAGGAGTTCCAAGTGTTAATTGTACGAGTTTCAATGAATGGCCACTCTGGTGTGAGGTTGGCCTTTTTCAGATAAGTATGGGTAAAAAATTGAGCAGAATCAAATATAATTCTCATTTCCTCAGATTTCGAAGCCAATTTTTTTCGCGAAGGATATAGCCCATTCCCCGAGCAGGCCTTACTTTACAGTCCAGTCTAAGCACTAGGCCTACCTTTGCTTAGTCTAGGCCCTTGGCTAGCGGCTAGGGACCAATGTCCAGGACTAGGCCCTAGCCTTAAATCCTAGTTTAGTAGCAGCAGGCAGTTGGGTAGGCCTAGTAGCAGGGTGTTATAGGAGGCCTAGGCTAGGTCAAAAAGCACTGATTCGGTAAACTTAGGCTCTAGTTGTAGGTCTAAGCAGTTTATACAATACTAGGCCTATCTTATATTGTATTAACTCGTAGATAATCATATCACTGAAACAATATACTACACCTGCAACTCCGTTTCTTCCATTATTGTTTGTTCTAGCATGGAATCCCTGGACCATAGCATTATTTGCCTACTACGTGTATTGTCCTGACGCGCATGTACTTGTGAAACAATTGTGATTGGTCAATTTTGGGGGTGTGTTAGCCGGCTCTACCGTTATAAAATTAAACTGAGGACTTTTGGTAAAAATGCTGGTATTGTAATAACTCCAATAATGAGGTAAAAACATATTTGGAAAAAAACAACCTTTACACAATGAAATACTATATTTAAATTGCATTTATTAGTATGATATCGTCTATGTTGACCAACTCCTTGGTTGGACTAATAAAACCGTTGGAATTACTTATTTGCCTATATTATACTATTGTATTGAGCTAAAAAAGAAAACTTGAAAAATAAATTCGATTTAAATTACTTATTTTGTATTCCACTTTGTATATCATACTTTCTGTGTTGGATCACCCCTTTCACTTCAATGTCTACGTCAGTAGACCTATCGCATCGATGTTGTTAAAAGAGGAAGCTTCTGAGATTCTTATCACATGATGTCTAATTTTCCTATTTCGATCGGATTCTATAATAGGGACCTATCAGTAATCGCCGGACAGTGTTTGCTATAGTATTTTTATATAATAATTAAAATTCTGTTTATGATTGTTCACTTATTTATTTATTTAATTTCAATATATCGGGTTGCGCACGGGCATAAATTTACTGCGTATGTTCCGTTTAGCCGTGTGTCAGTTGCAAAGCGGGTAATAATTTTTCATAGATTATATATTTTTATTATTAAACCTAAATAATAGTGATGATATTGATATTTTTCAGCTTTATCTTGTTACAGTTAAATCGAAGATCATGCATTTCCCTCTTGAAGAGACAGCACGATCTTCATTTTATCATTAGGCATGATTTTGTGATGGAATTATTGTTTTTTTTTTTTTGTATATGCTGTTTTTATGTTTATTGTAGATATGATATATACCTGTATATTTATATTTTATTGTTTATGAAACCTATCAGTGGCGGTGTTCATCGCTAGTGTCCCGAAAGTGTCATTTTATATAGGGCTTCTACAATAACTCTCATAAATATGTACCCAAGATTGAATAATCCACAAATCGGAAAATCACTTTATGAAATAATTTAAAGACGCAATAAATCTGGTAGATTAAAAAGATCACAGGGCCCTACGAAAATTTATAGGCCTATAATAGTATTTTAATTTTAAATACATATCAATCAATTAGTGTTTTTTCGTTATAATTTTAGTAGAAAGCTAATTACTTATAGAAACTTACAAATATTGTCATTATTCCTTTACTTAAATATTTTTAAAATGTATAATATTCGTGTGGCAGTATACATCGTTTTGATCTAGGTTTTCATACAAATGCATTATTTTTGCGAATAAACATATGACAATGCATATCATACAAATAATTCATTAGGCCTATGTTTACAAAAAGCTTTAAAAGTACTTAGGCCTATTATACAATAAATATGGATATATTGTTACGTAAAAATAAACAACTACCGTGGAACTACAAAGAGCCCATATCTGATGCCCTATTAGACGAGATAGACTGCCGTTCATTGGTTTTTAATTTTATGAAATTTCTCTTGGATCATACATTTTGGAAATCAAAAACACAGCTGAAGATGTTCCATCAGAACAGTTCTTTGAACAGTATCGGTAGCAAAGCTAATATTTTATGCCACACTAACCTATTCTTTATTCGTTTGAAACTTTAAATAGTTTCGATCTTATTGGGCTGAACACTGCTGTATAAAGCACACAAAAAATTACTTTTACCTATTATTCAGGGTATTTTAAGCCAACTATGGGAAAAACATACCGTGATTAGGCCTATGCTACCCGACAGCGGAAACAACACTAAAATCAATGTGCTTGACAAATAAAGGGGTTTATTTATGGAAAAGTCTACCTAAATAGTATTAAAGAATGAAGAAACATTATTTTATTAAACAAATTAGGCCTATACCAACAGAATCTATTATATAAATATAATTTAGGTTTATAGCTGCAGTCTGTGTTTCGCCGTAACTTAACATGTTATAGTGTGCATATTTATGTCC